TCTGCACTTACAGCGACAAGCGGGGTCACCTTGACACAGACTTGGGCAGAAGGACAACCTTCTCGAGAAACTGAGGACACCATCTCATCGGCCTCATCCACGGGATCAGGGCACGTGGCCTCATTAGCAGAATGCGTTTAGGATGACCTGGCATCAGTAATTACCGCCTCCTCCCATGTCTTCTCTATAATTGTCTTTTAGAGTCCAGGGCATGCTCATCATTTGCCCATGAGCACCCCCCCCCCAACAAGATTTTCCTTCAGCAGCATATATACCACTGGCCCACTGGCAACGCAAGCACAAAAGCACCCATGAGGGTGAATTTTTGTTTAAACCACCGCTAACTGCTATATATCCATGAGTAATATGTGCACAGTTCTGAATTTTGGCCTGAATCCTTTCCTGCTTGCTGAAGGAAGACAGAAGGACACAGTGGGGTGGGGGACAGGGGTGAGAGGGGGGGGGGGGGGGGGTGGTGACTGTTGACAGTTCATCAAACGTGTTCAGTGGCAGCAAATCTGCATTACATTAATATCCCAAAAAATCCTATCAAATCTGATCTTTACATTAAACAGAGGCTGAGTAACACTTGATCTGTCTTTTTGTTCCGTTGTCATTCTCCCATTTTCATTTCATCAAGGAGACAGATGCTCTTCCAGTACAGCATAGGTAACGAAGACATGACAGGGATATGCCTTTTAATGAAAAGTTATATAAAATATTATAAGTGAATAAAAAACAAGCCTCCTTTGCCATTGCACGTACTGTTTGGTTACCATTGTAATATTAGATTCTTTCTCCATTGCTACAATACTTCCCATTGTATCTAAGGGAGGTGTCGCTCCTGTGTTTTCCAGCTGAGTGTATACGGCTTTAACCTGACATTAGCTGGAGTAGGCCAAAGGTTACCTGCTATGCACAATGCATGACTTACAGTCCCTTAGACACCAATAGCATCCATGAAGAAAGTCACTAAAGATCTGGTCAAACCCAGTAACACACACACAAACATACTGCAGGCGTGGCAGATTTGAAGTAGTAGCAGATGTTTTCAACAAACTATAGAAATAGATTATCCTAATTATCTTCCTGTCAGTTATACATTGATATAGGTCACAAAGGGAGCGGTTTAAACTCGTCATTTCAACATGATTACACTAATAAGTGCAATAAAATAATGACCTTAGAATACATGTTCATTAATTATAATTATGCAACTAAATATTAAATAAAAACAAATCAATGAGTGTGTTGTGGATTGCAATTCAGGTTAAAATCTGCTTCAAGAGAACAGACCTATGCAATGTTAGTTAAGATACAAGGTGAAATGAATATTCATATTGGTTACACGAAGCGCTACGGTCACGTTGGTAGCCGGTCCAGTTAAATAGGTAGTGCGCATTTTCTTTGGCGAAGGTTGTTCGAGACTTTATGCGTAAGTTTCAGGAGGGGATCCTAATCCTATACAGAAACCTAACTATTAGCAGGTGTAAACGTCAACAACAGCATAAAATCATTAATCTATGCCTTGCTATAATCCGACAGTAGGTGTCCATTGTGCCTCTAAAACAATATGTATTGCTTACGCATTTGTTCAGATTTTAAGCAGGGCGCAAGAATTATTTTAGAAAGTTTAATGTGTTCAAATTGAACGGAGTCGAAAAAAGTATCGGACGTGATTGCACTTAGTTTCTTTCTATAAATGCTATTATTACCAAACATTAACGTACCAAGTGAAAATAACACCCAAACTACACATGGCGGGTGATACAACGTTCTAAATTGGTTACTTCTAATGTTTTTTTTTTTGGTGTGAAGTGAAATACGGTACATTTGCACTTTTATTGGTAATGAAAATAACGATCTTGCCCTTCAATTGTCCTTCACAGTTATTTTATTATAATTTCATTCTTGATTATAAAAAATTCGCATTAGTCACTTAAATTACAGACATTCGTACGGACTGCTTGCACTTCATAAACAATATTTAACCATATGTTTTTTTAACTTTCTGACTTTACAGCGATTAAATAAAATGGCACAGTCTGTTCATGTACTAAAAGTATTAAACCAGTGAGTCACAGACACCAAGGACATGCCAAACGATCCAGTGACAGGGGGAACGCTGCTCAGTTTTTACTTAATACGACCTTTCAGAAATGCGGTGATTCAACACAGTAGACTATAGGCTACTAAACATACCTGTAAGTGTTGTAAATGCTGCATGAAAATTAATTAGCATCGTTCTCACAGAAAACGAATGTGGCACTAAGGTTGTGCAGAAGATGCTCTACGCAGTGATTCAGGTGGTGATTCACCTTGTGCTGTGTGGCTCCAGGAAACAACGAAAACTTGGGATCAAGGAGCTGAACTCCTTGTAAAATGCGAAACGCAGTCCTGAAGGATGTTAAGTCCTTTTTGGTATCGGACATCTATCGTGGCTTCAGTAAACTTGAGTTCATGTGTTTTAGATATTGGAATAAATGTTACATTGTTTTTAAACAGGGTACACAAAATGTCCTATTCTGCATACGAATGGACACAGTGTTTATAATGTTTTGTTTAATAGCCTAAAATCATCTTTGTTTTAAAGTTAGAACTATTAAGTATCCACTTATTCCCAAGTTAGCCTACTTGAAATTTTATAATTATGCACGACTGTGGCTTGATGGTCGCAGTTGATTTTGTGACAGTAATTGGGAAAATGGTTGAAAAAACGTCGAAGAAATGCAACGTTCCCTTTGTAACTCTATTGAAAACAGACGTTTAAAGCGGCGCAGGTGGTCCTATATTTCTAATCAATATTTCACGATTTCGTTGCAAGCACTGTGATTACGCGTGGGCTGGGTACACCGCCTAATGCAAACAAAGACCCCCATCGGATATACACTATCTTCGCGTTTTCGATCACTTTGATCAAAACGAACATGATTATTTTTTGCCACATTTGACATTCTTTGCTGTGGTTATTCGGCAACAGATGAAGAGACATGCCGGTGTACTTACCAGGGGTCACCCTGACTTCGCGAGAAATACTATCAGGCTTTTCAGTTTGTGTTGTCTAATCGGCGTCCAGTTCTCCCATTCAGATTCCGTGATCACAATCCACGTCTCGACATATATACCATAAAATCACATAGAGGATGAGAAGAATTGCGAAAATAAACAAGGCTACTAATATAGCTTTGGTCACCGGAGATATAAGAGACTGCATGTCACCAGTGGGCTGCAACAGAAGGACACTATCTGCAACCGCACTTAAAAGCGCAATGATGGACACGGAGTGTCTCCCACAGCAGAAAGCCGGAGCCTAGCGATCTGCATTGGTTCGTGCCAAGTTGATGAGTTAAGGAGAAACGGTTCGGCTTCTCGAAATCATCCCGAGGTCTAAACTCTACGCTACCTTGGTCGCCCATTGTTTATACATCATATATACAAAATTCATAATTCATGCAGGGAGCGACCATTGCTTTGCCCGCTTCTCTCTGACAGCGAGGATGTCGGGCTTTGCGCCGAATGCTTTTCAAAGTCAGGATGCATAGCAAAGTTCCTGCCCCCTGTCTTTGAAGCTTGACTGCTGAGAAAAATATTAAAATAACGATACAGCTTTGTCTTCATTCAGAAGCTTTCTTGGTTTTAATGGATTCGTTATTATTCAAATTGTTTGAATTTCAGGTGGGGAAAGGTTATTGTGGTGTTTTAAAACCTGCTGGAGTCATTTCGCTGTGAGTAATTTTACAATCACTTCATTTTACAGTAAGAATTGCTGTTTTTCCCTAATGTAATAAGATTTAGGCTATAAGGCTAACAACATGGCAGAAAATAAACCACCGGTTACCAATATTATACGAAACCGAAACTTCTGAACATTTGGTAGGCTAAATGTGAGTACTTTTAAGGTTTTTGTCTCGGCTTGGTGACCTGTATATAGGGCCTATGTATATACAAAACATATTATTTATTTAAAGTGAAACATTTTATATAGTAGCACGATTACTCTCAGACGAAAACGACAGGAATGCCCCACAAGTGGTCTGATCTAGGCAAACGTGATATCTTTCGCGTTCGCTAGATGGCGCAATTTGCGGGTTTCTTTAACCCACAATTGTACTTTACAGTAAATATCTGTTAACGATACTTAATACATTTAATCGCATTTTTTTCCCCTGATACAGTACATACACGCTCATGTTAAATTAAAAATACATTTAATTCAAAGCAATTAGTTACTACTTCTATCTGTAATTTCTTATTAAAATGCATTTTATTTGAATTGTCAAGGTGCATTTAAACAGTTCCTCTGTTCCTCTGTTTTTGATATTTCCCCTAATGCCATCTACTTTTGTCCATCCATGTTCTTTCTAGTTTGCTAGATCATGTCCACCATGTCACATTTATAAAATATATCAGAGAGTCTAACCATTTTGTAGTTTTTAGTATATGGAAGTGGATCACTGACAAGTTGACCCCATAAGCATTAGCAAATTAAGTTAGACTGGACTAAGACACTCTATTTACTACCCAGGAAATGGTCGACAATACAGATATGTTGTGCTTTTCATATTTAGAAAGGACATGAATAAGTTTACTTATAGTTTACTTATACTGATTTCTGTATATATCTATTCGCAAACAAGAAGGTGGGAAATTAACCAGATTCAAAGAAATCATCCAAGAGGAATCTGGGAAAAAATGATTGGTTAAAGTGGAGAAGCCAAAGAAATCAAAGTGGCCGTTGAATTTTCAAAAAGAAATGAAGACAAAATAGGAAAGTGAAGCATCTCTAAAAACAACTAAATCGCTGATTCCAGAAAGAAACTAGGAAAAATGAAGACCAATTTTACAACATCCACAAAGTAACTGAAGAAAATAAAAGTGGAAGAACAAGGGCTATTTTTCAAAACATCAATAGGATTAAAAAGAGGTGGGAGTGCAAGACGATCAATGTGCAAATACTACTGACAGGACAAAAAGTAAGCAAAATGAAGGAATACACAGAATTAAAATCAAAACGTGCTTTACTGGCCTTGAAATTCACACAAGGAATTTGTCTTGTAGTAATACAGGTATGTACTAGAAAACAGAGTATAGATCAGAGAAAAGTAAAACATTAAAAAATTCACAGGGAACAGACGTAAAACATTAAATGACAAATATGTTTAAAAGAATAGTGCTGGATATTAGAGGTAGTAATTATGTGCATTTGTATATTGAGAGGTCTTTCATTTGTTTCAACTATTTCTGAAGGATTAAGCTGCTATTGTGTCTTTAGTGAGCGGAATCTCATCCCAAAAGGGACAGTGGGCAGTGTGTGAGGGGTTGGCAACGATCCTGCTTGATTTTTTTTAACCCCGGAACTGTAAGGGCCCTGCAGGGAGAGCAGGTCATAGACAATGATTTTCTGAACACACTGGATGATGTGCTGGAGTCCTTAACCAAAACAGGCAATGAAATGATGCATTATTTTCCCTCTGCACAAGTATATTGGGATGCTTTTTTCACATGTCGTCTTGCTTATCCTTTCACACACACCTGTAATCATTTTTGTGGGGACCGCTCATTGATTTTTATGGGAAAAATGCTAATGCTAACTATGACAACCTTAACCTCTACCCAGTCCCAATCTTAACCGTAAGCATTACAAGAGCTTTTGCAATTTTAGGTTTTTGATTGCAGAGATGAATTTTTTGAAAATTTTGAAATTTCCCTGGAAACTGGTCATCACATTCATAACATTGTGGAGACATTTGGTCCCCAAGGTAAGGTATATATGGACCAAACACACGCGCCTACACACACGCACACACACACAGTTGAGAGTGAAGCCTGAGGTCCAACCACAGTATCACCCATTTATCCAGTGCCACTCGACTATTTTGGGGGTGGGGGGATTTAGGGCCTGTAGATGTGATCCTGCCAAGGCCAGGGTTTAAACCAGCAACTTTCCAATCACAGGCACACAGGCCTAACTCTCTTAGCCAGTGATGAATACTGCTGAAAAGGAAGGTCATGATAGGTAGCATCCCAACTGAAATTATTACAAGTAAACCTAGAAGAATGGAAGTGTAAACTAAATTGGAGAACAGCTCACTGTCTTCCCATGCGTACACACCATGGGCGGCGAGGGCGTCAAAGCCAACGGAAGTCATTAATACTGTATGGGAGAGCGTGTCAACAGGCAGTGCGAAGTGGCACAGCATGTCGCGATTTGGGCAGTGAGGGCAACAAAATAAAGTTGAAGCCTGGTCCACTTTACAGTAAAGAGCTATGACATGGTTTGGCAGCAACCAATCAGAATGTAGAGATGCTCCACTACGGAGAGTTCCACAGAGCACAAGCATGTAAACTTTTGTTCCGACCAAACAGTTCCCAAGCACCGTCACGATGTAAACCATGAGATTGAGGGCACTTTTCCACCACACCAAATATGGTACTTTTGGTATGGTTCTTTCAGTACTTTCGTTTTTCCACTGACTTCCGGTCGAGTACCAGTACCAAAAGTGCCAAACCAGCTGGGGTACTTTTTTGGTACTTCGGTACTATGGGGTGGGACTTGAAACACCAACATCAGCTCGGTCCCTCTGGCTGAGGCTGGGGGAGGCGCGGTCCCTCTGGCTGAGGCTGGGGGAGGCGCGGTCCCTCTGGCTGAGGCTGTGGGAGGCGCGGTCCCTCTGGCTGAACAAAATTCCTTTGTTGGTGTTTTTCTAAGTGGAATAATTTCTTCAGAAAACAGGAATAAAAGATCAATGCAATACATTTTTTTCAGATAAAATTAATAACTTATCAAATTCAAATTAACAGTAAGGGTTTACCGTGGTTTTCCTGTTGGTAACACAGCTTTCTTTCTAGTGTTATTCTCTTGGGGAACAAGGCCCAATGAATACAGAATTTTTGGAGCACCAGGCAGTTCAGCTAGTCTGCAATGACATAGCAAACCAAACACTGGATCAGCACTTTACATACCAGTAGCAGACAATTAAACCCAAATAACCAATTCAAACGTCTTACTTCTTCCGTGTTTCAGGTTTTGAAAAGACACGTGGCACCTCATCTTCATCTTCACCAGGGAAGAGAATGTTCTTAGGTCTAATTAAATACTTCATGTTATTAAAATTTTAAATGCACATAAATACAGGCATATAATATTGGTGTTGACAAATTATTAACGTTGACGTCACCGACTATGTCCACTAGACGTGGCAGCTCTAAACAGAGCCAAAAGTGAGTAGCACCATTACTCAGTTGGCACATTTAAATTAGACAAAGTACAAAATATTCTCCTGCTTTGACATTGAAGTCATCCACCGGCTGCGACCAGTATGATGTATTGAAATACCATTGAGTGGTATTGGTGCGAAGTATCGGCCCGATACCCAATAATGGTATCGGTGCAACCCTAGCTGAAACACAACTGGATACATTGCAATAATGTGACTCATACATTCTTTCCACAGAAATACTGTATTTACATGTGATTGTGTTTACTTGTGCCTATATACACATTCACCAAAGACTAGTCTCAACATGTACCAGAATCCACACAATTGTACTTACTTGATGTGAATATAACTCGGACCCTATATGGCTTCCTTCCTGCTCCACGGTTCTCCTGGCTTTTTGTTGCTTTTACAACATCCACTTTGTTTGGTGGCCACATGCATTGATCTCCATTTATCCACTTCGATGGCACCACTTCCACTTCATTTGTCTTATCAAAAATTACAATGTGATACATTGCCTGTATAAAATATGAAGACTTTTGGTCATTTTCACCTTACTGTAATTTATCTATAAAGAACTGGAGAGCGCAGGAGCAATATGAGAAGACACTAAAACACTGTATCTGGTGCCAAAAGGTGCTACTACACTCTCAACAAGAGCAATAATTTATACACAACAGAACAATGCCATTCAAATTGGAGGGTGGGGGTGAGGGTTTGTCAATTCAGAAATTCCTGTACAGACATTCATTTGAATGTATCAGGGGCACAACAACAAAGTCATCATAGTATGGCAATCTGACGTACTTTTGAACACTTTCCTCCATCTGAAAGTACTTCACATTCTTAGACAGGTTAGAAACTTTGTATATTCCTAACTCTCTGGAATCAACTGGATATACAAAGAATGGTTCCTTGCATCTGTATTCTTTGCCTGCAATGTATTCTATACCTCTATCAATAAAAAAGTTTTCTACCAAAACCACTTCATTCCCAATTTTAATGCATGAATCTCTCCTTGAAAGTTTGACAATTATACCATCCATGGACAACACTTTGAATTGGTGTACGTCTCCACTAATGGACTGTGGCACTGGCCCATATTCATGTTCCAATCTACAGTATACGCTTTATCTGTCTGAGAACAAATATCAGGACTAGAGTCGACACCATCCTTTTCAGACAACCTGCGGATCACTTGAGTCAGGGCTTTGCATGGCCCCCTAACCATTTTTTTAAGTTGCCCCATGAAATTTTCATATGGAAAACCTGAAATGAGATCCAGATTGCCATGCAATTTGACATCCTTGCTAAGGTGCACAAGACCATGTATACTGTAAACTAAAAATTCTTGTCCATAAAGACAGCCAAAGTGTTCAACAAATTAAACCATTAAAGAGTTTGCAAAGTCATCCATTCTAAAACAGTATTCAGAACTCACTAAAATGTACACACCAACAGACAAAAGCATGAAATTGTCATAGATTTGACGCTTCAAAACATCCTTCAGTACAACAGGACCAGTGCACAACAAAAACTGGCGGAGTTCAGTTGCCTTCCATCTGTTTCTCTCAGCCAGTGTACGTGGCCTTCTAGCAAACTGATGGAATATAATCCTTTAAAGCAAGTAGTCTCTCTGAAACCAAAGAAGCCTGGCTAGATGACATACGACAACACAATGGGCCAGGAGGACCCAACCACAAATCAAGTAGACGCCTCATTACCCCCAAGCAAACCAAGTGCATGTAATCATGAGGGAAGGTGGCAACCATGTCAATATCAAGGTTGGAGAAAGGTGAGCGTTCATGGTGGTGGTCCTCATCAGTGGCTTGTCTAAAACATTTGTCTGTTCTTCGCCTTGCACTGACCTCAGGGAATGTCATCCAGCTACCTATTCGAACACCACTTTGATGGCACTTGTCGCACCCATGGTATGCAGTATGTGATTTAACAGCTCTGATAAAGGCTCGGGCTGGGGCATCACACACAACAGAGCTGATATTCAAAACAAATCCACTGCTCAACATTTTTAAGTCATTCACCAGATGTTGCAAATATTCTGACAAAGAATTAGGTTTAGAATTGCCACAAAAAAGGCCAATCACCATTGGGTTCAACTGAACTCCTGCAACATGCCAAGTATTGGCCAAAACTGAATACCAGTGCTCTTAAAAAGTGGAAGACCGCCAAAATTCAGCTGTAGTTTAAAGGAGTGTCTATCTGGCAGAACAGACCACACATTATCCAGAATCCTACGAAAAGCATTCAATATTCCAAAATAGTGAAATATTCCACCTGCTAAAGTCTCAATTTTGTATGTTGTTTTTGTTCTGAGCAGTGTTCTTCCATCTTTGGGCAGAAAGGGATGGTGAAGTTTCAGGATGGAGAGCAGGGCAGATAAAGCCATCAAGGAAATGCTAAACTCAATGGCCCAGTCTGCAAGAGAAGCCTTTAAATCAGAAGTGCTTTCACTGCATGCATCTGTGTGATCCATGTCCATCTCATCAGAATCATCAAACCTATGTTCTGCCTCCATAGTTAGACTAAGTGCACTCTCTTCTTCACTATCAGTGTGCACCGCTTCACACCCACCTGAAACCTCCACATGTCTATCAAAATTCACATTATCCTGGTCATTTTCTAACGATTACACAAGTTTTTGTACCTTTTTCAGTGCTTGTCTTCTCATATTGCTCCGCTCATTGTAAGCCCAGTTCCCTTCCATGTCACTTACACCCCTGTTCTGCTTAAAGTGACAAACCTAAACACAGCCTTTCAAGAAAAATTTGGATTAATTGTAATAATGCAATAATTGATTAATAATGATTCACTTTACAGTTGCCATATTTTATGAAAAATATATCTATTCCTAGCCAGATATATATTACCAGCTAGTTGGGAGTGCGCGTCAACTGCTACCAAACGAGCGGGAACAGGGCACGCTGTTGCCAACTCTTCAGTAAGTAAAGTCGCTATTGGCTGCAAGCTAAAAGTCGCTAAATGACGTATTCGCCTAATGTGAATAAATGATGGCGCAAGCGCGATTCTTTGGACGCGCAGGAGTGACTGCTGCGCGATAGTGGTGTGCGATACTACAAGATTTTGGTATCGATCCGATACCAAGTAAATACAGGGCAAGTATCGCCGAAATGATACCGATATCGATACTTTTTAATAATTAAGGTACATGCATCATCAAATTGCTAAAGCTGAATTAATTTTCATTACATTTAAGTGTTTTTGTGATTTTTTTATTAATTAGTTAAAACCCATAACAGAATTTGGGCAAAGTTTAAAAGTAAATGCACTCTTTTGTAAATCGATACCGCATGAACAACTCACTATCGCTTTAAAAATCAATTGGGTTTATCCTGTCTCGAATTTTCCTACATGGGATTCATTCTTCTGATCCCACCCAACAAAGAAATGCAGTCATGTTTTCAATAAAACTAAAACAGACCTAAACATAAACCTCCACGAGGGGTGGTTTAAATATGACTGATAATCCAGCTTTATACTTGATTTAAATTCACTGGTGCAACAGACTTGAATTTAATCTAGGTTTGAGTGGAAATTAAACTAAGATTAACAAAGGTTTAGATTTAACCAAGATTAATTGTAAACTAAATTTAAACTAGGTTTAAACTTTGGTGAAACAGGATTAGTAGATAAATCTTGATTTAATCCAGTTTAAAGGTTAAACCATGTTGGTGCAATTCAGCCTTAGGGTTAGTTTAGATTTGGGTCGTGTTCGGTAGATGTGTTTTGTTTATTATTTTGGCCTTAGTCACTCCCGAAGTCCTGTTGCACCAGGTGTTTGTGAAGTGTCCTTGAATAGATATAGAAATCCAAAAAAAGATCCCTTCCTTTCTCGTGTTCTTTTTTACCGTTTGTCTTGTCATTCCCTTACCCTTTCCTTTCTGTTGATCCCTAACCCTAGACTAGGGATCGTAACAATTCGTTTGTTGTTTTCTTATCATTAGGAAGTTAGGCTATACATAATGTTCGGTACATTAGGTGTATCGACAGCAGACTCAGACCTGTCAAGATTTCTGATTTTTTTTTCTTTCAAACTGGTTGATTTCAGGCTATTTTCTTCCATCCTATTAAATGGTTGAAGACAAAAATTCCTCTGTGCCATGTAGCCGTGGTAGAGAAATGCCCTAAAATGGCTAAACTTAAACGTGGATGCGAGAGAAAAGAAGGGGTTTGCGGGAGTATCATTCCAAATGCGTGAGACTTGGCAGGTCTGCAGACTACCTTTGTACTAGGACTTCTGTCTAGTGTTAAGGTTGCCAAGTTTGGTCAGCTGGCTGGAGTTAGACTTTCAATTGGAGACAAGTCTGCACACACATTTACATTAGTGATGGGTCGTTCTTGAACGATTCGTTCATTTTGAACGAATCTTTAATGTGACTCGGGAAGAATGAGTCGTCTCGTGGGAGTGATTCGTTCAGTCGCGGATGCGCATTTGCGCAACTTCCTATGATTTGTGTATTGTAATTATTGATTCACCTGTTTCCAGTCTTCGGGTTTTTCGAGTCGTTCGTTCATCACGTGACAGCCCCATAAGCTTAACCTAGTATGCAGTCTGAGCCGGAAACAGAATTGATTAGTTCATCTCTCGAGTCTTCGGGTTTGAGTCGTTTGTTCGTCACTTGACAGCCCCATAAGCTTAACCTATGCAGTCTGAGCCGGAAACAGAATTGATTAGTTCATCTCTGGAGTCTTTCGAGTCGTTCGTTCTTTTGTCACGTGACCACTTACCGGCTCAGTACCTCAGTCAAATACTAACGTAAAATTCCATTTGTTGTACGTTGGATCATATTTAGAAATGATAAAATTATCAAAAATATCTAAAACGCATTTTCTTATAAATAAAAATGGTCTGTCAATTTCTGTCACTATGATTTTGTTAGTGTTTCTTGAGGATCTGTGGTGTGTTATTTTATAAATAAATAATCCTGTTATAAATAAATTATTGATTAATTTGTCCTTTCATTGTCTTTGTCTATCAGTAAACAAACACAAGGCTATATAATAAAATAATCCAAGCCTACAACTACAAAGTACTTACAGTTAATAATCGTACACTATTCTATAGCAGTGTTCATTTTTGCTCCAATTTTGAGTTTCCTGGTATAATAATTGTTTTTCCTATGCAGACTTAACATATTGATGTAATATTTGTATAAAAAGATTGGTCAAAAAGGACATAATGACAAAGTAAAAGCAAATAACATTTTGAATTTGAATGATTAAGGTTAGTTTAAAATATTAAGGTTATGATAACTTAAACTGTGGCTACTTTATATAAAACTTTCAAAACTCTAGCTCAAAAATTCAGTGAGTTATAGGTGGTAAAGCAAAATGTGTTACAACCATACCCAGTCTCCCCTATCTAACAGTTTTACTACCTTTTAAATAATCGGCAGTCTGCAAACTACTCAAGCGCTTTTGATGTAACTAATTTTAGGTTTATAATGGAATAATATAAATTGGCCGTAAGATTTCTTACGTGAGTCTGAAAGCATGAGTGTCTCGCCAGACGCGTGAGAATTGGCAGCCCTGCGGTGTATGCCACCAGAAACTGCACTAAGCTAGATATATCCTTTATTTGCCGTGTTTCTATTATTTGTAAAAGACATCAACGAGAGAACAGCAGTACAGAAGTGGGATAAAGAGTGATTCAATGTCTCTACCTGGTCTTAAGATATTTAAAACTAGCCTATTTCACTTGCATACTAATTTCAGACACACATACTGTAATGAGTCACTGCCCTTGAGGTATAGGAAGTTACCCAGTCACAACACCGGACTATCTAGCTAATCTAGTTAGCATTGTATCATACAAGTGCCAGATTAAGAAAAATTATTTAAACGAGTACTATATCGATGAGGTCTGCTTCTTTAGCCTAAATGAAGAATACATGCGATAGACATTGCATGGAGTATAAAACAGAATATTAAATGTTGTATTTTTCCCATATAAATGGATTTGTTATTGCAAACAGTTTCTCTAATAACATGAACACGTTTCGGGAGTTTAGTCGGCAAGCGAAGTATTACATTGCAATGCCTGTTGCTCGCAGTAATCCCTTTTCACATTGTGCGTTATGTTAAAATAAACCAATGAAACGTGAACGTGTAAAATACAAGAAGCTGAGTAAGCCAGCAAAAGACGCCATTTTAACACAGGCTGGCACAATGTACCAAACTTTGGGGCTCGACAACGAGTCAGTAACAACTAATACGTCAAACACTGTACAGTAGCTACAGCAAAGCTAAGTAATCGAAATCGTACTTTCAAACAGGGGCGGACCTTACATTTTTAACCAACCAATGTGTACCACTCCCGTCCCCGCCTTTTCGCCATTGGCTCACGCAGATGTCAGTTCGACATTGGTTTTGGAAATAAATGCCACACCCGAGCGCTACATGTAGTTAAAGTGAAGTTGGTTGAGGTTTTCATAGTAAAGTTTTCGCGGTAGGATTATTCACTATTTGGCCGATCGCAATGAAGTTATATGTGTGGATCTTTTTGCTTGCAGGTTTTGCATTTAGAGCCAGTGCACAAGGTAAGAACTCGAGTTTAGATAATATTTTCTCTTTTTATGTAATCAGCCCAAAATATACTGATTCGTACTCAGGATTTGCCCCAACTAACTAATCTAGACGTATGCAAAGGTGATAAAAGGTTTTGTGGGTTTACGTATGTGATGATGTCCTGTTGCTGTTTACGGAGTTTTCAAACGTGGATGTGGGCGGTTCGCTCGCGCAGATGGTCATCGCGAATAGTCCCTTACATACAACCTTAGAATCGTTGCATACAATTTTCTAAGCAGTAAATATGAAAAAATGTGGAGTAAAAATGATAAAGCGCTGTAATAAAAAGCAAAGAACGGGACAGAAGTTATTTCTATTTGTTGCAATTAGTTTCTTTCTCTGAAATTTTCAAGGCTCCACTGTTATGAAGAGTGGGGTTTAGATGGTATTTTAATGTTCAAATAGGATACGAAATATTCCTGCTGTCCAACCTAATTCTCTGAGACAAATATTTAATTGTATTTCGAAAATCATAAACTAATTCTAAACATGCAGACTGACACCGCTTATCGCTTTTGTCGATTTCTTAAGGGTATGGAATAATGATTAAAAAAACACGGAATTAGTGCATGGAAAGATTGAAACATTTAGGCCCAAGAAGAAGTTTCAGTAATTAAATCCAGGCCGTAAGAGGACTCCACCCGTCCGGGAGGTTCACCGTAGTTCTGCAAACTCTCATGCGATGTTTGTGAGTCATCGCTGGGCATGACCGTGCAGTGAGGTGTGGTTTAAACCCCCTCCGGCACTTCGCTGGGCATGATCGTGCAGTGAGGTGTGGTTAAACCCCCTCCGGCAATGCCGGTGTTCTGTTGAGTTGAGCTACTTTGTCGAGTTAGGCTACCGTAGTGCTAATCGACAGCCCTAACCCTAACCCAAACCCCTAAAACCTAACCCCAATCCTAAAACGGTGGAACTGCACATGCGCAGAAAGGCTCGATAGGTAGCTCAACTCGACAGAACACCGGCAATTTCTGCTGCGTGGCTGGGGAATCTGGATGGATTCAGCGCTCAGTGGCAGGAAACCACCAAATGTAAAGTGGCTGTCTAGCACTGTACCTTGCGGGGGGTAGAACCTGATGCTGCGTTAAAAGTCAATAGAAGTATTTGAACACGTGGAAATTTCTATAGTTCCACCATGATAGTGTATCTGCAGTTGTTCTGTACGACTACGTATATTAAGTATTTTTTTAATGTGAGGTGATACGTTATGCTCAAACTTAATAGGGCCATCCGAATTTCTTAACATGGTAATAAACCACGCTACAGTGAAAATGGAGAAAAAAGTATACTGAGGTAGATTCCTTATTTTTCCCCGTTGTTGGAACAGACAAGAACCACAAGATGAGGTTAAACCCTTATTCATGATCGCAAAGAAAACCCGGAAGTGGGGGGAAGGATTGGTTCTGGAGGTCTGATGTGTCAGTCAGACTGGTCTGGAAGTGCCAGTGTGACAGCTCTCAGTTCACTTCTTAGTAAAGGCTTGAAAGCATTGTAGACACACACAGACATGCAGCATTAATATTATATTAATGGATCATTGTATATGCTTACAATTAAAATATAAAATTCCTAACACTGTTGTTATGCCACCGAATTCCAATGATGTTTGCATGAAGTGTTAATTGTCATTGTGGTGGCAGGGCATGGACATAATCATGTGCAAAACAGGAGTTACATGTTTTGCTAAGTCATTTATAAAAAGCTAGTGAAATCCTTACCTTTAGCCCTTACCTAATACATGGACATTGTTATCATCTCTAGTAATGTAACACAACATAATTTGCATTTTAAATTGTTGTAGAGGTACCCAGATTAACATGTTTCCTTTTTCTGTCTGTTGATCAGCTGACAAATTTAAACTTATTTGTGGTAATTGTCTGGTTACTTCATTTTGAGAGCTGCATCTTAACTTCATATGTTAATGTCAGTATGTCAGTGCTTGGTATTTCAGGTATGGCATGGTATTTTCACTGACAAACTTTGTTGGACAAGAACAACTCATACATACATGCAAATAAAACTTGTACAATTACATGTTCAGCACATGGCTTGAAATAGCCCATCAGCTGGAAATGAAATTCAGCAATCTGAGCTTAGTTTGTAGGAAAGTTATAAATATTTCTCAGCATTGGCTTTGGACAAATGTTTCTGATCATCTGACATACTGTATTGAAACATTGAATTGTGTTTCCTCATTCATTTTCATAACAAACAGTAATTAATGATGAAATAAGATAATACTTTATTTTGTGTACAGCTATATAAAGTGCGCAGATCCAAACACTTAAAGTCCAAAGAAAGTACACTTATAACAAGTCTTGTTTGGGAAATTTTTCTTATATTGTATTTTTAAATGCACCTCTAATTTATGAATATTACTCATACGAACACAGTACAGTTAGCATAAATCAGAGGATTATGCACTTTTTAAAGCGGCTTTGAGGGGAAAATGACACTGAATGGGCAGGAGCATGTTCAGCCAGGGGGGGGGCTGCACCACATGGCGCTGGCCACGCCCACTTCCGCCTCTGAAATTTCCCCGCCATTTTGTGAAATATGCAAAACCTACTTTTGCGTATTTGTCTGTGGATTTTTGACTCGGAGACAAGTAACTGGTGACACTTGAATCCTTGTTCCATGGATTATGTACTTTTTGTAGTTGCTTTGAGTGAAAAATGACATTGAATGGGCAGAAATGTCAGCCTGAACAATCAAAGAGGGACAGAAACTGGATGCCAATTTTAACTTTGTGCCTAGGATAGTAGAGGGGTTCACTACAGCTTAAACCTGGTTTAGACTGACCTGTTGTAGTATTTCTCAATCCAGTCCTTGGAGACTCCCAGACAGTCCACATTTTTGTTCCCTCCTATCTCTCTGAACCACCTGAACCAAATAATCAGGCAATTAAGAAAACAAAATACCTGGTATAGCTCCGTTGGGAGCTGGGAGGGAGCAAAGATATGGAGGGTTTGGGGTTCCCCAAGAAATGGGTTGAGAAACATTGCTGTATTCTTATCTCATTTTTGGCAATAGCAGTTCTTAGACAATTGCTTAGCTAAGCGATGCATTCCTAGGGAGACTGTGGCAGAGGCAAGCTTTGACGCCTGGGGGCAGCCTGAGGCAGTTCCCTCCGCAGCTTTTCAGCTGAAGAATTTTGAATCTATAATTTGTGTGACATCAGGCCCAGACTTTATGGACAGACACATTAAGGAAAACCTAGAAGGGATCGGCTCCCTTCTGGATCTGACTGCCTGGAAGTTTAAAATGATCGAAAATACCGATTCTATCGTGTACAAAACAGTTTCAAAACTTTTTTTTTTTTCATGGTATCGATTCTACAGCCTGCACTTCCAGTTCCCTCTCACCACTGAGGTTCGTGGGCTACCAATATGCATGCCTAGACCTGACCGCAGTCTCATGTGTTAGAGCTTTTTCCACTGCACTTAATCGATAAAGAATGCACATGGAGTGGAGCCTGGAAATATTTAGGATTTGTGCCAAATGAAGATGATAAACCATGGGGCACATAAGTCTGTGTGCAAGTTGTACCACTGCATACTAACAAAGGGGGCAAACACAAATTTAGCTAAACATGTAAAGGACCGACACGCAATGCAATGCATAGTGTTTTGAGAGAGGTGTCTTATTTCTGAATTACTGAAATATTAACCTTTATGGGCCTTGTATTAATTAGTATGATCTTTCTGATACAAACTTTCATAGTCGTGCAATTGTTAGAACTGTTTGTGCTTTGAGATACAAGATAAAAAAGGCATGTTAATGTGATGAACACTTTTTTATTACGCATCGTAATAATAAAGTAACGTCTGATTTTTAATAACGTTTATTTACTTACTTTTCATGAATCTCTTAATCCAATTACAGCGTGATTACAATGGCTAATGCTGTAATTTGTTTTGACTGTCAATGCAATATGAAGGTTTTTTTTTTTAAAGTGACACAAATTTATAAAAGATTGTAAAGTCTTTACTGAAAACAAGTGCAATTGAAACTGAGTTTCATTATATACTGTATCAAAAATTGTACTGAATTTCAATACTTTTTTGGTATATCATATATTGTAACAAATACGTTTACACTTGGAAGTAACTTATGTTTCTCTGGCCTCTGTCACATGAAATAATTTGATAGCATGTACTTTTATATTATTATTTTTTTATTTATAGAATTGAATCTTTTGGATGCCTTCGGTGAAGATGGTAAGTATTAGAAATGTTTCCCTGCTTTGGTTCCTCTTTATTGTTGCTTGTAAATAACACCCAGGTTAGTACTTATCATGAGGCTTGTCATGATCATTGTTTTTAATTAATGTGGTATGTGTGCAGATTTTGACAGGAATAGTATGGACAAACGGTGAATAATTTATTTCACTTTCATATTTGAGTTTGTTTGAATATCTACCTTTTAGTATTTGCATTGTTTTGGACAACTCAACTAAATTCAATAACTACACTCCCATTCAAAAGTTTGGGGTCACTTAGAAATTTCCTTATTTTCCATGAAAACAGACATGAAATGAGTTTGAATAGGAAATATAGCTCAGTAAATAGGAAGTAGTCATTGACAAAGTTAGAAACAATCATTTTTCAAATTAATATAATAATTGTGTTCTCCAAACTTTGCTTTTATCAAAGTTAAATCTGATGATATTTCACCCCGGACTTCATTGAGCATCTCCCACAAGTTGGAATGTCTTGATGGGCACTTCTTACATACCATTTGGTCAAGCTGCTCCCAAAACAGCTCAACAGAGTTGACATCCGGTGACTGTGCTGGTCACTCCATTATACACAGAATACCAGCTGACTGCTTCTCTCCTAAATAGTCCTTGCATAGTTTGGAGCTCTGTTTGGGTCATTTTGTCCTGTAGGACAAAATTGGCTCCAATTAAGCGCCGTCCACATGGTACGGCATGGTGTTGCAAAATGGAGTGACAGCCTTCCTTCTTCAAGATCCCTTTACCCTGTACAAATCTCCCACTTTACCATCACCAAAGCAGCCCCAGACCATCACATCGCCTCCACCCTGCTTGACAGATGTCGTCAAACCCTCCTCCATTTTCTTTTCATTTGATCTGCATCTCATGAACGTTCTTTGTGATCCAAACACCTCAAACTTAGATATGTCTATCCATAGCATTTTTTTCAATCTTCTTCTGTCCAGTGTCTGAGTTCATTTGCCCATCTCAGTGTTTTCTATTTATTGGCCATTCTGAGATACGGCTTTTTCTTTGCGATTCTGCCTAGAAGGTCAGCATCCCGGAGTTGCCTCTTCACTGTTGACATTAAGACTGGTCTATTGCGGGTACTATTTCATGAAGCTGCCAGTTGAAGACCTACAGTATAAGGCGTCTGTTTCTCAAACTGCACACTCTAATATATTTACCCTCTCACTCAGTTGTGCCCCGGGGTCTCCCTCTCCTCTTTCTGCTGTGGTTAGAGCCAGTTTGTGTTGCTCTGTGAAGGGAGTAGCACACAACATTACATGAGATCTTCATTTTCCTGGCAATTTCTCGCATGGAATAGCCTTCATTTCTCAGAACAAGAATAGACTGATGAGTTTCAGAAGAAAGTTCTTTGTTTCTGACCCTTTTGAGCTTGTAATCGAACCCACGCTTGCTGATGCTCCAGATACTCAACTAGTCCAATGAACGCCAGTTTTATTGCTTCTTTAATCCTTCGATCACTGTAACCACTTAATCCCAACTGGGGTCACAGGGGGGACTGGAGCCTATCCCGGGAACAAGGGGCACAGGCAGGAACACACGCGGCCAATTCAGGCTCACCAATCAACCTGCCCTGCACGCTTTTAGACCGTGGGAGGAAAACAGAGCCCCCAGCAGAAACCGCCACAAACACAGGAAGAGCATGCAAACTCCACGCAGAAAGAACCTACACCTGACCTCAGGATCAAACCCAGGACCTTCTCACTGTGAGACAGCAGTGCTAACCACTGTGCCACCATGCCATGTTTCTTTAAGCAGCATAACAATTTTCATCTGTGCTAACATAATTGCAAAAGGGTTTTCTAATGATCAATTAACCTTTAAATGATAAACTTGCATTAGCAAAAACAACTTTTCACTGGAACACAGGACTAATTGTTGGTGAAAATGGGCCTCTGTACACATATGTAGATATTCCATTAAAAAACAGCTGTTTCCAGCTATGATGTTAATTTGCAACATTAACAATGTCTACACAGTATTTTTGATCCATCCATCCATCCATCCATCCATCATCTTCCGCTTGTCCGGGGTTCGGGTCGCGGGGGTAGCAGCTTCAGTAGAGGCACCCAGGCCTCCCTCTCCCCAGCTAACCCCACCAGCTCCTCGGGGGGGACACCGAGGCGTTCCCAGGCCAGCCGAGAGATATAATCCCTCCAG